CACCTCATAACAATTACTTTTGACCGCTACTACTGCAGCTAACTTTTTGTGTGTACTTCATCAAACAAGCAGTTTTTACAACGACATGTAAATTAATATTTTCAAACAATTTTTAAATCTAATATCTATAATAATTTTATTTGAACTTAATACTAATTAATTTTCAAATAGATAGAAATTATACACATTCAAATGTTGAGAAAGTAAATTATTTTAGTTACTCAATATTAAAATTAGAAACAATATCTTAATAATTAGATAACAATGAGATTCGGGCATCATATTCTTCATAAAGACAAATGGTGTTTAACAAAGCCACTGTACTAGCCGATGGATGCTTAAACTAATATGAATACAGTTAAACATCTTTATAATAATCTTTTTTTTTTTTTTGCATGTTATAACAGTTGGTTATTATAATAGCATTTTTTTAGATCTTCAAGTCCATTAATTTGAAATTTCAAAAGATATTCAAGTTCACAAGAGCTTATGTGTCCCCACTTCCTCGGAACTTACAAAATTTATTAATATCGTGTCCTCAATAAAATATAACTAATAGATTACTTTCGTGTTATTATAAAATAATAATTAATACTGTAAATCTATATATGAATAAGGTTATTAGAGACGTAATTTTTCAAATAGCATAACGTAATAACAATGGTCGTTGCGCTATTATAAGTAACATGCTACTATAGAGGTAAGATATGATATGACTAAAGGTGCTTATCGGGCAGATCAGACGGATAATTACACTTAACAGTTTGGCTTATCGATTATCGGATTATAAATGTAGTAATCCGCTAGTTATCCAATAAGACAATGAGCAGATGGGTATCGGATTAACGATTATCGGGTAGTTATCAGACGGTTTATCGGCTAAATCAAATATAAATTTTTTGAACAATCCTAATCTTGTGAATACCAAATAAATAAACCTGATTAAGTGACTCAACTATAAGTTCCATCCCTTTTAGTTTAGCAGGCTTGTTAACAACTGTTGATACATGATAAAATCTGCTCACACTTTGTAATTTGTATTGCACTTATTATAAGTATTTTTTTGCATAGCTATCCTGTTTCATATCAAAAAAAGGGAAAGCCTAAAATGCTACGACCAAAAATCTAAATCGTCGTGATGGCACCTAATGCAACCTACTAGGTAAGCCAATTAACAATAAAATACGATATAATAAAACCGATGTCAGTCAAAGATGAGAAATCTAAATTTTTATAAAACTCCCCAAGGACTGGTAGTACAAATGATGAGCTTCTATGATATAGAGTTTACAAAGCTGGTCTGAAATAAAATACACCATATGTTTGAAATATACATGAACCAACCTGAAATACTAAAGCTACCAAGATCAATAGGCATCTATGACTGGAACGCAGGTACATCTTTAGATCCAGCTCCCGCGGTACGCAGCTACATCAACATCCAACATCTGCACGCAAGGTGCAGAAGTGCAGTATGAGTACAACTGACCCCATGTACTTAATAAGTAACAAACCTAACCTTAGGTTGAAAGTAGTAACGAGCCGGGAGAAGAGTCAATGTCCAACTCCAATAACCAGCAACATCTCATACCAATATAATAAAGTTGGTATAAGAAATAACTCAGCTCATTCACAGTTACGAAAATAGGCAATGCTTTTCAAGTATACAGTAGATCCCAAATCTTTCATCGAAAACCCCAAATATATGAGTAAGCCCGAAAACTATGAATTTTCCCTAAAATCCATTCAACAATAAATAAGATGTTTCATTTTCAGATAGCATAATTAAAATATATCTCTATGTGTACATGTCAATATACATGTGAAATCATGAATGTCACCAAAATCATGTAGCAAAAGGAAATGCATCTCAATGCATGTAGTTCAAGTACGCATGTCAAATGCAATGTATATCAATTATGAACGCATGTACTCACACTCTTAGAATACTTAATCTCAATAATCTCACACTTTCCAGTAATCATGCTCAATCATTCCACACGCTCAGTCACTTAGTACTACTGTACAGGGCAGATCCAGCCCAAACATAATAACTGCTAGCAACTGCAATCACGGGGGTGTGCAGACTCTAGAGGGGCTTCTTTAGCCCAAGCACTATACTCATCACGGTCAACTCGCGTGCTGCACGAAAAACTCATGTGTTGCATGGACATCTCACATACTATAGTATCAATATTTGGATCCGCACGGATAACTCACGTACTATACGGAAAACTAACATGCTATAGTATGAATAACCTCACAATTAGGCTCTCGGTCTCACACTCATCGATCTCTCCAATATCTCGGGCTCATAACACTCATACTAAGCAGCCCAAGTCAATGATATGAGATGTGGCAATATACAATAATAGAAACTGAGATATGATATGTAACGATGAATATGTCTGAGTACATAACTGCAATTAAATAAATAACTCAATAGCAAGGAACGACCTCTATGGATCCCAATAGTGCGAGCATATAGCCTAAGCATGATTTCTAGCATAAATTACAGCTCAAGTGCTCTAACACATAGAGCATAGTAGAAATGTTCAGATAAGGTAGCTATACCATTTCATGGAATCGACTAAGCCACAGTTACTACGATGCACGCCCACACGCCCATCAGCTAGCATGCGCATTACCTCAACATCAATCACATAACACATAATCGAGGTCATACCCTCAACACCAAGTTTAGATGTGTTACATACTTGAACAAGCCAAATCCAATGCCGAGAAAGCCAAACGATACTCCAAGAATGTCATCCCACGCGTACCGAACTCCGAATGGCTCAAACCTAACCAAAAGTAACTCAAGAACATCAAATAAAGCCTAAGGAAATAATTCCAAATAATAAAGTTCGAATCCTTAATCAAAAGCCCAAAATCGATCAAAAAGTCAAACTCGGTCCCACACCTTAGAACCCGACGAAACTTAAAATTCCGACAACCCGTTCAATTACGAGTCCAACCATACTAGTTTCGCTCAAATCCGACTCCAAATCGGTGTTCAAAACTCAAAAATTCGCTTTATGAAATTTTAAACAAAAACCTCCAATTTTCTCTTTAAAATTCATAATCCAAATGCCAAAATTGAAGATAGACTCATGAAATATATCCAAAAACGAGTATAGAAACGCTTACCTCAATCCTTGTGATGAAATTTGCTTCCAAATCACTCAATTCCGAAGTTTATAGCTCAATATGTGATAAAAATGGCCAAACCCTCGAACTTAAAGCATTCTACCCAGCGTTTCCACATTTGCGGACAGTAGGTCACACCTGCGACCTTCGCTTCTGCGGAACAAAGTCACGCACCTACGAGACATCCTTGGCCACCAGTGGCCGCTTCTACGATTACTAGGGTCGCATCTGCGATCGTGCTTCTGTGCCTGTAGAACCACTTTTGCGACCAGCTTCACGCTTTCGCGAGCACGCACATGCGGTCCCTCATGTGCAGGTGTGTAGACATCAGTAACCAAACACTTCAGCAACTTCAACAAGGCTCCAAACGATCCGAACCTCATCCGAAACTCACCTAGACCACTCGGGACCCCATCTAAATATACCAGCAAGTCCTATAACATAATACGGACCTACTCGAGACCTCAAATTACACATAACAACAACAAAACAACGAATCACACCTCAATTCGAACTTGAATGAACTTTGAACTTTCCAAACTCGCGCCGAAACATATCAAATCAACCCGAAATGAACTCAAATTTTGCACACAACTCCTAAATAACATAACGAAGCTATTCTTATTCTCGAAACCAAAATCCGAATCCGTTATCCTCAAAGTCAATTTTTGGTCAAACTTATGAACTTTCCAAACCCATCAATTTGGGATCCAAATTCGAGAATTTCCTTGGGAGGTATCGGGAAGGATTTGGAATGGAATAATATCGATTCATGCAGAAGAAAAGGTTCTCCGTTGATTCAAACACTGTAAATTTCCAACTTTCGCCAATTAGTGTGGAATCCTTCTAGAAATATCCAAATGTAAATCCAGGCATACGCCCAAGTCCAAAATCACCATCCGGACCTAACAGAACTGTCAAAACTCCAATCCAAGGTCAGGTACTAAAAAGTAAAATTTGATTAACTCTTCCAACTTAAAACTTCAACCATGAAATTCATTCTTCCAAATCACTACCGAATAACTTGAAAACCAAAACTGACAGTTCACACAGGTCATAATACATCATACGATGCTGCTCAAGACTTCAAATAGCTGAACAGAGTGCAAATGTTCAAAACGACCGGTCGGATCGTTACATGAAAATTGGTCAGATTGACTGAAAACTTATATACAATTGGAATCCCCTACACCTACAAAACTTAACTAAAACTTGAAGGCATTTCCATTTATTTTCCTCCTGTAACTTCTGTTGATCCCATATATATAAAGTGTAAATATAAAAATGTTAAGCTGTTAATTATAAAAGCTCAATCTGTTCACCAATCATTACCCCGATAACCCGATACCAATAAACCAATAAACTATCTGGTCAGTTTAGTTAACTGTTAGTGTTCGCTTTTGAACAGCCCTATATATGACAAATTAGATCCAGCGAAAACTTGCAAGTTATAGTAAAATGATGATACTACATTAATAAAGTTCCTTAATAGCATAGATTCCAGACTATGTTATTAGATTTTATGCCCTCTATTTAGGAACAATGATCGTGAAAAATGAAAAAAAAAATGAATTCATTTGCAAAAAATTATATAGTTGTCGAAATCTGATCCTTTGTGCAATTATGGAAAAAGGAAAAAAAAAATCTAATATTAGCTTTATCGAGAACTAATTCCTTGATTAACTGTCTACAATTTTGACATGAAATTGATGATTGTAAGCAGAGGTAGACATATATATTCAAAATCAAGCAATTAGAAAAATAATTTCCTACACTAAGTTCTAAACCAATGGAGAACTTCCTCTATATTCACCTTTTGATGTCAATTATTTTCTCAATTCTGCTTGTAGTGTTGGGCAATGAAAAATATTTTTCACCCCTTAACTCCACTTCTATTAAGAAAGCTAAAGAAAGATTTATGTCTATTGATCCGACTAAGCTTCGAGATCCACCAATGCCATCCTATACTTTTACTATTTACCATCGTGATGTATTTAAAAAATCAAAGTTCAAGGATTACGACTCATTACTTGAAAATAGACTTGCTCGAAGTCATGCTAGAGCAAGTTCATTGGCATCGATTATTGAAAATGAAAATCGAATTGGTGAAAATGAAACTCTGACAAGGCAACACAACGCGCAAGGGAGCAAGATTGACCGCGAAAAGGTTCCAAAATCAACAAGTACATACTTCGCAAATGGTGAGTATGTTGCATCTTTTAGGCTTGGTAGTCAAGAAGTTAGAAATTTCTTGCTAATAGACACCGGAAGTGATGTAGTTTGGTGGCAATGCGGACCATGTGAGCCAAATAAGTATTACAAACAAAAACTTCAGCCTTTATATGTTTCCACAGAGTCGAAAGTATTCCGAAAATTGCTTTTTACATGGAGAAAGATGTTTAGAAGATTTGGACCTAAGTTATAAGTGTACTAGTGATCATAGTTGTACCTATTATGTTAAATACGGGGATGGAGCAAGAACAAAAGGTTTTATGGCAGATGATGTGATTACTTTTGTTTTAGACCAAAGACCAGTTAGGATTATACTTGGATGTAGCAAAGATCAAACAAGTGGAACTACTTTTAGTGGTGAATATTCTGGAATTGCTGGCCTTGGGCGTAGAAAAATCATGGGTGGATATTCTTTACCAACACAATTTGGAGCGGATATAATGTCCATGTGTCTCCCAGGATTTTATTCAGCAACAGGATCTTCACTTAACTTCCATACAACCAAATGGCCAAGAGCAACATCAGCAAAACTATTACTAAATATCAAGTATCCTTCGTTTTACTTTGTCAATCTTTATAAAGTTTTCATTAATGATAGGGAAGTTGAACTGAGCCCATCATGGTGGAACTTTAAAAAAGATTTGACCGGTGGAATCTTCGTGGATACAGGAACAGTTATTTCCTACTTTCCTCAGGAGTTTTACACTATATTTCGTTACATATTTAGAGAAGAAGTACGAGATATTCCTTTGGTTGATACTCCAGCTGCAGGACCTTTAGACACTTGCTATAAAGAGGATCCGAGTGGTCGTGAACTTAACTTTCCTGTTGTGAAGTTGTACTTTGGTAGCGTAAGCCCGAGTAACATGTTGTTACTAGCAAAAGAACGAGTTATTCTGCACTTGCGTGGACAATATTGTCTGGCTTTTGCGGGTTGGGATAGATCCTTCGCAATATTAGGAAGTTATCAACTTCAAGGTGTCGGATTAACTTTTGATACTTCGGCAAACACTTTGTCCTTTGATATAGATGCATGTAATTGAGTATCTATAAAATTTCTCTGTCTTGCAATCTAAATTTACCAAATCTACTACTACTAGTTTGTATTTTTCTTTTATGTTTGCATATTTAACCTTTCTTTTCTTTTTTTCTTTTTTTTTTTGTGAATCCATATGCATTTCATTTCAAATCCTCTATCTAATAATGTTTCAGTGACGACACTATGTGGCACTAAAGTCGCCAATAAAAGTAGTACTATATGTACATGTACCTAAAATCTATTTTGTGGTACATTTATAACTTTTTGTGGAAAATAAGATGGCCACAAAAGCTAATAATAATAATAATAATAATAATAATAATAATAATAATAATAATAATAATAATAATAATAATAATAATAATAATAATAATAATAATAATAATACAACAGGGGAGGATGCATACTCACATTTGTCACGACCTGGATTTTTCACCCTCGGGAGTCGTGATGACGCCTACTAATGAGAGCTAGGCAATCCAACTGTTTGAACAAATTGTCTTGTTCATTTTTTAATCCTTCACAATTATGAAACAATAGCTTATAAACAGCGGAATTTTAAACAAGCGGAAGAATCAATAAAACCATTTGAATATATATCCAATACAACATCTTCAACAAAATCTACCCAGAACTGGTGTCATGCTTCACAGATAGTCTAGAGTTACTACAAACCAGGTCTGAAAAATAAATAATACACTGTTTCTGAAATATGTAAATGAAACATGATGAAGGGATAGAGGGAGACGCCAGGGCCTGTGGACGCCTGCAGGACTACCTCGGAATCTCCGACTGGACTGAAGGCAGTCACCCAAGCTAAGGTCCAAATGCTGCTGCTCCGGGATCTGCACACAGTGCACAGTGTAGTATCAATACAACTGACCCCATGTGCTGGTAAGTGCCTAGCCTAACCCCGGCGAAGTAGTGACGAGGCTAGGACCAGACTGCCAAATAAACCTTTGCAGTTATATTATATACAACGGAAAATAAAACAGAAATATATAATTAAGGATGGAGGCGGGACATGCTACAGGGGAATATCATATACCAACAGTAACTCGGGAGAAAAGCATAAAGAACAATTTAAAATTTGTGGCAGAAAGAATAAGGAAACTGTAACCAATCAATAACCACTTTTATCATTTATTGTTGCGGTGCGCAACCCAATCCAAATCATAAAGACACTATTACAGCGTGCAACCGGATCCATATCATTTATCATTGTTGTGGCGTGCAACCCGATCCAATTATAATGTTGTTGCGGCGTGCAATCCGATCCAAATATAATATTATTTGCGGCGTGCAACCCGATCCAAATACAATATTGTTGCAGAGTGCAACCCGATCCCAATATACAATTCAACACCAATCACAAAAAAAGTCCCGGCAATGGAACAATAAGGAAACAACACTATTCCGGCAAGGGAATCGACAATATAAGTAAATACGTCCCGGCAAGGGAGTCGGCTATAACCAAACTTGTTCCAACGTTTAACTTCACAAAAGAGACCTCAACTAGCATCAATACTCAACCATAAGCAACTTCCACGAGAATAATCATAATTCTTGCTCAACACAGAAAATCAACAATTTAGGCATTCATAGTACTTATTAAAAACACAACGATTTCAATTTAAGACTCACGGGCATTCTTGACACCAATGTTTAGATACTCGTCACCATGCCTATACGTCATATTCAACAAATAACACATAGCAAATAGGACACAACTCCTAATCCCTCAAGCTAAGGTTAGACCAAACACTTACCTCGATGCCACGAACACAATTTAAGTCTTAACTATCGTTTTACCTCTTGATTCCACCACCAATTCGCTCGTATCTAGCCACTAGTTACTTAATTACATCAATAAATGCTAAATGAATCAATTCTAATGCATGAAAATAAGTTTTCTAAAGTTTTCTCCAAAAGTCAAAAATCGCCCCTGGGCTCACATGATCAAAACCCGAGGTTCGAACCAAAACCCGATTACCCATTCCCCCACGAACCCAAATATATATAAAAAAATTAAAACGGACCTCAAATCGAGGTCCAAATCCCCAAAAATTTAAAAACCTAGGTTCTACCCAAAACATCCAATTTACCCCATGAAAATAATTGATTTTGAGTTGAAATCATGTGAAAAGATGTTAAAGATCAAATAAAACAAGTTAGAAATGATTTACAATCGATTTGGAAGAGTACCTGTCTTTGAAAAATCGCCCAAGAGTGTTTTGGTTTTGAAAGGGTTTGAAAATTGATTGAAATGCGTCTAAGTTATGAATTTACAGGTTACAGGTATCGCAGGTGCGACCAAGGTTCGCAATTGCGAACCCCTCAGAAAACTGACCCTTTCGCATTTGCGAAGATAATGTCGCATTTACGACCAAGTTAATTTCTGGTCACCTTCGCATTTGCGAGGGACCTTTCGCAAATGCGACATCGCTTTTGTGATAGAACAGTCGCATTGGCGACTAAGGCGGCCCAGGTCCATTATCGCGTTTGCGATGCTTTGTCGTATTTGCGAGCCAAACTTCGCATTTGCGAAGCCTGCAAACCTGAACATACCGGCTGAAAAACCTGCAATTTCCTAAGTTGAATTCCACTCCGTGGCCTATCTAAAACTCACCCGAGCCCTCAGGGCTCCAAACCAAATATGCACACCATCCTAGAAATATTATACGGACTTACTCGTGCATTCAAATCACCAAAATAACATCAACAACTATGAATTTAGCATCAAGATCATGAGATCACTTAAGAACATCAAGTTTTTTAATTTTCTCAAATAAGGTCCAATTCACGTCATTTCAAGTCCGTTTCTTACAAAATTTCACAAACTCAACTTAAATCACATAGAAGACCTGTATCGGGCTTCGAAACAAGAATACGGGCTCGATACCATCAAACTTCAAACACATTTCATTTTCAAAAACTCATAAATATTCCAGAAAATAATTTTCTTTAAAAATTCATTTCTCGGGCTTGGGACCTCGGAATTCGATTCCGGGCACACGCCCCAAGTCTCATATTTTCCTACGGATCCTCTGGGACCGTCAAACCACGGGTCCAGTTCTGTTTACCCAAAATGTTGACCGAAGTCAACTTAAATTCATTTTAAAGGCAAAAATCATCATTTTTCATAGATTTTCACATAATGGCTTTCTGGCTACGCACCCGGACTGCGCACACAAATCGAGGTGAGACAGAAAGAAGTTTTTAAGGCCTCGAAACGCAGAATTTATTTCTAAAACAAGTGATGACCTTTTGGGTCATCACAACATTGGCCAAGCTTTACCGAAAAATACTCACAAAAATTATATGTAAAATAAAAATAATAATAATAATAAAAATAGTTTGAATTAGCTAATTTTCTAGAGAAAAGTAATATTTTAAAGAACAATCTAATTAGCTTCAATAACACACTTTAATGTTTGTTACTGCTAGAGTACCACACAAAATAAAGTTTTTAGGACAATGTTCGTGGCGACAATCGTGGTCGCTAGTAAAAGTATTGATACACGGCACTCTTTTCAAGTAACAGCCTACTTTTCAGTTACGACTTACTATTGCAACCCAGGTACTCACTACTGAAAGTAATGCTTTATATACCTAAAATCTATTTTGTGGCACATTTATTTTCTTTTTAGTTGCCACAAAAGCGAAAATATGAAACAATAATAATAACGCAAAAGAGGCGGATGCACATTCACATTAATCCCAGCCTTGGTGAAGAATTTTCCCAGCAACTGCTATGTAAAATGAAAATGAAAATTAAAATGATTTGAATTACCCAATAATTAAATTAAAGTGCATTTATTTATGTTAAATATAGTGTATAATTTAGTTATATCATGTAAAATTTCCTTAATTTATCTATCATTTTTTAAATACTTTGGTTGCGATTAGCGACCACAAAACTTTTCAGCTAAAATGGGAAAAGAAATTTAAATCATATAGTGGCGACTAATTTATTGCCGCCACTAAACTCTCACTTTTGGGGCAGACTTTTTAAGAATGTAATAACTGAGGAGATACTAGCTGCAATAAAAAATATGCCTCATTGTCATGATCCAAATTCCATTATAGGATGTGATGGCGCCCAACTCCATTGTTAGGCAAGCCAGCCCTAAGTCAACTAGTGAGTTCTCATTTATTTTCATAAACAATCCCAACATTTACTTAACTTAACTTTAAAACAGTCGATAATTAACAATTTTATAAGGCAACAGAATCGGGAAGAGTTTGGGTTGAAACTATATGATACTTATGTGATTTCGAAAGAATTCTATAAATTGGGCTGAATGCCATATTTGGGCCTTGTGCTAGGGTTGTTTAGTCCTTAGGGGCCTTTTTCTTATTATCCTCTCACTGTTTTGATTTAAAAATCTATACTTAGTCATGCTATGTTTATTGATTTTATAACTCAGTCTTTATTACTCTGTTTTGATGCATAAAAATGTAATTTTGGGCTGAGCACCCTGTTTTACTGATAGCATGAGTGGCTTGAGAGGTTTATGACTGAGCGAGGCTGAGGGCCTATTTTTGTGAGGTTATTTATGAGATCGGGCTGCGCGCCGCATCATGTTGTTATTGATTCATGACTGAGTAAGGCCGAGTGCCTGATTGTGAGATATTGAGACTATGGCACGTGAGTTGTCCGTGCAGCACGTGGGTTGTCCGTGCGGATTCTGATTCATGATTTTGTGAGACCGAGGGCCTGATTGATTTATGCCACTAGGTGGCTTGTTATAGCGATTGGGCTGTAGGAGCCCCTCCAGAGTCTGTACAACCCTAGTGAGTGCGGGTACCCTGAGTGAGTGATATGATGTTTTGCCCGAGGGGCTGTTCTTGATTCATGTTGTGCCCGAGTGGTTGTTTATAAGTGATTGTGAGGTATGCCCGAGGGGCTGTATATGAGTGACAGTGATGATTGCCCGAGGGTCCGTTTAAGATTTATGTTGCCCGAAGGACTGTATATGAGTGAGTTTTTGCTCGAGGCAC